ATCGATCGGGCTCGAAACGTGCGCCCGAAAGATTGTGTGCGTCAGGGTGGCAGAGATCGCCTCTCTCTTCAGGACCCCTTTAGGGGAGATTGCACTCTGGTGGGTGCGCGTGCCCAGTGTCGGTGCCGAGAGTCGGTGCCGAGAGTGGGTACCGAATGTCGTTGCCGAGTGTCGATGCCAGCAATTCGTGGCGGAACGCCTCTAGAAAGGGGCTAGTAGAGTTACTTGGGAAAAAAAGGGTTCGTTCCTTAGGTCAGCCCGATGACTGTAGGATGACATGCCCGACCTAGTGATGGGTTCGGTAACGCGTTCGACCAGCGTCCCCGACGCCCTCCACGACGTCCTGCCCTTGGCTTCGCTCGAACGTGCGCATTCTTCTATCAACGAGGGCCACTTGAGGAGCAACTTGCATTTCTTAGGAGGAGGAGGAGGAGGAGGAGGAGGAGGAGGAGGAAAATGAACGCATGAAGTCGTCAAATGCACCACACGTGGATGTTCGAGCGATGGCATGCTCCCGACGCCCGTTCCGACGCCCTTTTCCTCGACTCCCAGTTCCGCGCCCGGCCCCTCTCCAGCGCGAGGACCCCGACAGCCGCCGCCCATCCCAGCACTCCCTCCGCCTGCGTCGCATGGTCGGGGTCGCCGCAGTGGGTTCCGTAACCGCGTCGCGGGTGGCGCCCTTCTCTCCCCGCCGCCCTGCCCTGCCCGCTCGGCTGCGGTTGCCCCCCTCTTCTGCCCTCCTCGTCTGCTGCTTCTCCTCTCTCTCTCTCTCTTTTTCTTCTCTCTCTCTCTCTCTCTCCCCCTCCTCTCTCCCTCCTCCTGGTGGGCCTGTCTTCCACCACCACCACCACCATAAGGTGGAGGGTGGGAGGAGGAGGAGGAGGAGGAGGAGGAGGAGGACCAACTTCTGGTGGTGGTGGTGGTGGAAAACAGGCCCCTCACCTCCTGCTCCCTGCCTGCTCCCTTCCTCCAGCCCCCCACCCCGCCTGCCCACCCGTGCCGCCGGCCCTCCGCCTCCCGCCTGCCCCGGGGCTCCCGCGCGCGACCTCGCCGCCTGCCTGCGCTTGAGTTCGGCGTGTCCCCCGACAGGAGGAGGATTCTCAGGAGGGAGCGAACCACACGGACACAATGAACCGTCGACTCCCACGAACATAGGGGACGGTGTGGGAAGGGGGGGGAGACAAACACCCAGAAAGTATATGGAAATATGGGGAATCCTGCTCTCTGTGTGCATTTATGTGTGTGTGTGCCCTAGGGCCCCTTCATATGTACAAATAAACAAACAATAGTCGGGACGATGCTTTCGGCTATGTTTGAATATGTTCGAGCATGTTCTGAGTATGGTTTATTTGTCGTCCAAAGTCCACCCGTAGGAGGGGGACATGCCCGACCTGAGCCTGCGTCTAGTCCCCTCCTCTCCCCCCTCTGCCGGACCGGATAAGCCTGTCCGACCCCTGCGCGGCGGCGCGTTAGGGCTCCAACATCCGCTGGCACCTTCCTGGCATCGCTCGGACGTGTGCATTTTTTCTCGGCGAGGGCCATCGAGGAGCATCCTCGATCATTCGGCGACAATACCACGCACGAAACCGAAAAAAAACACGGGGAATGAACCTCCGAGCGATGGCCCCGTGCCTTCGGCACGGGGCCTCCCTCTGCCCGCGGGTCACCCTGCAGCTGGAGCGGCCTGCCGAGCCACGGGCCGGGGGCCATGGCCGCGACTTGTCGCGCGTGCGGCTCCTGTACCTGGCATCGCTCGGACGTGTGCATCTTTGTTCTCGGCGAGGACCATCGAGGACTATCTTGGACCATCGAGCCAAACAATCACGCACGAAACCGAAACATGCACGGGAAATGGACGGCCGAGCGACGCCAAGGCTGAGCCACGGGCCAGGGGCCCATGGCCGCGACTTCTTGCGCGCGCGGCTCCTGTACCTGGCATCGGGCGAGGCCAGAGTCGCAGGCCTTGAGGCTGACACCGACACCGATTTCGGCGGTGCGCCTCCACCGAGGGACAAAGATCCCAATCTCAGTGATGGTGGTAATATTTCAGAGCCATGAATCATCTGGGGTAACTCGGGTCAGGGCTAACTCGGGTTCGTTTTTCGGGAATCCGAACCCGAGTTGCCCCGGGCCCGAGTTACCCCGTATAACTCGGGCGTCCAGAGCCCCAAATCATCAGGGATAATTCGGGTCAGGGCTAACTCGGGCTCGTTTTTCGGGAATCCAAACCCGAGTTACCCCGGGCCCGAGTTACCCCGGATAACTCGGGCGCCCAGATGTTCTGGCTTCCAGGGTGGCCGAAGCACTACCACCAGCACCGAAATCTGGGATCGTCTCCACCCTGTGATTTTGCAGCCCCCTGTGTTGGTTTTTTGGTGCCCACTTCTCTAGCAGAGGTGCACCCAGGATTTCCAGGGGGGGGGTGACTACGGCCTCCGGGGCACCCCCTCGCGAGGCCCGGCGGGCCCCGGCAGGGCGCGGGGCTCCGTGCCGTGTGCCAAGGAGGGCACCCTCCAGCAGCCCTGGCTGCGGCGCGGGCAGCGGCGGCGGCGGCGGCGGGTTGGCCACGACTCGGGGCTCCTCCTCCTCCTCCTCCTCCTCTCCTCCTCCTCCTCCCCCTCCTCCTCTCCTCCTCCTCCTCCTCCCCTCCTCCTCCTCCTCCCCTCCTCCCTCCTCTCCTCCTCTCCTCCTCCTCCTCCTCCTACTCCTCCTCCTCACTCCTCCTCCTCCCTCCCTCCTCCTCCTCCTCCTCCTCCTCCCCTCCCCCTCCTCCTCCTCCTCCTCCGCCGCCTCCGCCTCCTCCTCCTCCTCCTCCTCCTCCCTCCTCCTCCTCCTCCTCCTCCCTCCCATTCGGTTCGAGTCGGCTTCGATGGAGTCCAATTCCGATTCGATGCGACGTCGGATTCCGGTGTTGGATCCGATCTCTCCACGGAGGCCTTCTGTGCTAGCCCGCCGATATCTACCGATTCGACCTTTCCCGACCTGGCTGCCGAGGTCCGCCGATCCGATTCGATCGCCCATTAGTTTTGTCGATTCGATTTCGGGCCTTTCTGACCAGACGAGCGGGGGCGGCATCGAATTCGGCGCCCCGGCACGGAGCACGTAGCGGAGGGCCAGGGGACAGCAGGGGCCAGGATTTTGGGGTAGGGCCGCGCCAAAGGCAGGCATGAGGAGGAGGAGGAGGAGGAGGAGGAGGAGGAGGAGGAGGAGGAGGAGGGCGAGGAGGAGGAGGAGGAGGGGGAGGAGCAAGTGGAGCAGGACGGTTGGCGGGCAGGAGCAGGAGCTGAAGCAGCCAAACAGCACGCCCCGTGTCTCTCGGTCCACGTTGCGTGCGGTGGCCGATGTGGTGGTGAGGACCCGCATTCGCTGTACTTTTGGTAACCTCTCGGCCTGGCCCCTCCGGCGGCAGGAAAAAATGCCTCGCGGAGATGGCGGGCAAGAACAGGCGGAACGCAGAGCGCCCGATGCGGAGCAAGATGTGCCCGCTTGTTGCAGGGAGGGCTGCCAGCCGTGTCCGAGTTTTCCAGTCTGGCTGGGGGCGGGCGTGGCAGCGGCGGCCTGGCGCACTCGGGCCGGCCTGAAGCCCAGGACGGCGCGAGCACGTCCCAGATCCAGTGCTCGAGCACTGGATCTCTTGGACGTGCTCGAGTCGAGTTCTGGCCGTGCTCGAGCACCGGCTGGCGCCGGTGCCGTGGGGCACCCTCTGCGCAGGGTGCTTCCGCGGCACCGGCGCTGTCCCCTGCCACTCTGCCTCCTCGGCCCCCGCCGCATGCCCCCCCGAAGTCTGCGCGTGCGCCGCCCTGCCTCCCCTCCGCCCTCCCCTCCCTGCTCTCGCCCCTCGTCGCCCTCCCCTTGTGGCCCCCGCCTTCTTTTTGTTCCTGCTGCCCGGGCGAGAGGTGCCGAGCTCCCCTTCTGCCCCTCCCCTCCCCTCCCAGCTCCCTCTCGCCTCTTTCGCCCTCCCTCGCTCCGCCCATCCCCTCCTCGGCCTCCTCCCACTCGACGTGCCCCCCCCCTCCTCGGCCTCCTCCCCCTCGACGTGCCCCCTTCTGCGCCCGCTCCCCCTTGCTCCTCCTCCTCCGCATGTCGTCCGCCCCCCATCCGCTCTCTTCGGCCCTCGCAGTGGCAGGCGCTGCCGCGCGAAGGGACGGCATCTAAGTCAGGCCAGCCGTGCTACCGTCAGGAGAGGAAAAAACGCACAGACACAATTAATCCTCGAGTCCCCAGAAAAGATGGGAACATATGGGCAGTGGGGGGGAAGACAGAAGCCCCCCAAAATATTGGAAAATCTGGCGGATATTTTTATTTGTGTGCATTGATTCGTGTGTCCTGGGCCCCTTTAAAGATGGGCAACTCAGGGGCAGCGGCGGGGGGGGGAGGAGGAAGAGGAGGAGGAGGAGGAGGAGGAGGAGGAGGAGGAGGAGGGGGAGGGTGAGGAGGAGGAGGGAGGAGGAGGAGGAGGAGGAGGAGGAGGAGGAGGAGGAGGAGGGGGAGGGTGAGGAGGAGGAGGACAGGGGTAGCGTCGGGGGGGGGGGGGATAGCCTCGGGTGGCTCGGTGGCTCAAGTGGCTCAAGTGGCTCAAGTGGCCCAAGTGGCTCAAGTGGCCCAAGTGGCCGGGGGGGGGGAACTCGGTCCCGCGCCCGCCGCGCGAGGGGGGTCGGCGGCAGATGGTGCGCACGGCGGGCCGGACGGTGACGCTCCTCGTGCCGCCGGTCCTTCGGCGAGCGCGGCCAGGCCCTGCTCGGGCAGGCGAAGACGTACGGTAGGTTTGCGTCGTGTCGACCAGCGGCGACCCCAGCGCGGGCGTTCAAGGTTGAACGCCGCGGGCGACCCAGAATCGATCGATGTTGAACGATCGGACGTTGCGGCAGCGGCCGATCGTTCAAGGTTGAACGATCCAGCGCGGTGTCAAAAACCAACGCCGGGGTCGACACGACACGAACCTGCCGTACGCGGATGATCTGCGCAGCGACCCCCAGCGGTTGCTGTACGCCTGCATCGTCATGGACATGATCGGTTTCTCTGGCTACCTGGTGCTTTTCCTGGGCGAGCTGGTCGACATCTACTGGGCGCCGATCTTCTTCCTGTTCATGCAGTGCTTGTTCGGCAGCATGCTCATGAGCTCCGTCGGCTGACTGGAGGAGCTGCTCCCCTTCACGGACATCGTGCCGACCGCCACCATCGCCTGGTGCCTCGCCCACTGCGACTGGCCGGCCTTCGAGTTCCTGCGCCAGCTGGTGGGCCTCCGGAGGATGTTGTCTCTTGTCTCTGGGGCGGCCGTGCTGCGGGCGGCTGTTGTGGAACAGTGGTGGCACTGCGGGCTGGACGTCTAGTGGCGAGGCGCAGGACACCGCGTCAACTGCATCGTCTTCATGGGCTCCCGGTCGTGGGCCTTCTGCGGTGTGGTGCCGTTGCTCCCTGCGCCCGCGGTGCTGCTGGCGGGTCGCATAGCCGGCGCCCTTGGCGCTCGGCAGTCGTGGCGCCCAGCCGCCGCGGGGCCTGTGCGTGCTGGCCAGGCTGGGGCCAGTCTTGGGCTTCCAGCGCACGACAGTCGCAGTGCGGGAACCTCATACTGCTGCGCCTGCTGGGCCTCGCGCAGAGCTGGCGTGCGGCCGCCTGGGCTGCAGCGCTGCTGGGGGTCGCGGCGCTTCCGGCTCCGACGGCATGGTCGTGGACGGCGGGGCCAAGTGCCGTACGGGACCTGGCGCGCGGATTGCGGCACGTTTCGCCCGGCTGAGGGCGGCTCCTCTGCCCGCACTGGCGGGCCCCGCATTGGCGGTGGTCTCCCTCCTCCTCCTCCTCCTCCTCCTCCTCCTCCTCCTCCTCCTCCTACTCCTTTCCTTATTCCTTATTAGAATATACTCCTACTCCCCCCTCAGGCCGGCAGATAGCGGGCGCATCCGGGTGGTCCCATCCTAACCTGTAAAAAACAATACAAAATCAACATTTTCTTATTTTTTCCTCTCGACATGGACGTCCTGTCGTCCACGGCGATAATCCATTGCAAAAAATACCACAAAGAGCACACGCGCGCGTTCATGTCAGAATCCTACCGAACACCGTGTGTTTGCAAGCATTTCAACATAAAAACATCAAAAACCCAATGCTTTTTCACAAAAATTGTACAAATTTCCCGCCCGGGCTCTCTTGCTGAAATCATAGGAAAAACATAGGAATCTTAAGAATTCTGTCAAATCCAGCGATTTCACGTCATCGCGCGGTGCACTCGCGATGCTCTGTCATGCACCCAGGCCGCGAATCCTGTGCAAAAAATACCACAAAGAGCGCACTCGCGCGTTAATGTCAGAATCCTACCGAACACCGTGTGTTTGCAAGCATTTCAACATAAAAACATCAAAAACCAATGCTTTTTCACAAAAATGCTTTGGGGTGTCCTGTCAGACCGTCGGGCTTCCTCCGGCCACCTCTGGCTTCCTGCGGTGTACCGGGCCATTCTCGACTCGTCTGGCAATGCGTGCGCGGCATTCAACACGCGCTCGCCAGTTCCCGTCGGCAACCGCCATCGCGGCCGCATCAGCTGTACCAAACCGGCTGGCCGGTGTGACTTCGGCCCCCAGTTGTGCCAGCTTTGTTTCTTATGTTGTGGGAGGGCGGGTGGGACTGGGCATGCCATGCTTGACTCGCTCGAGCTGGCTAGCTTGACTCCTACTCCTACTCCTTCTCCCTCTCCTTGCCCGCGCTTGCGGGTTCCGCATTGGCGAGGGCTGCTTGCGCACTTGCGCCCGCCACTCGGCGTGGTTCGTAGCCGTTTGGGCTCGTGGTCCTCCTCCCCTGCCTCTCCTCTGCTTGTCGTCGTCGTCGTTGTCCTCCCCCCTCCTCCTATGTTGCACGTTGGGATAACCAGTCGCAGTGCACACGGGCATACCAACTTTCTGTGGTTGGCTTTGGCGGGGCGCGTACGATTGATTTTCCCTACTGCAGTGCTTGCACCTGGTGCCCTGGTGGCCTGTTTTGGGTTCCCGCTGTCGTCCTCCTCTCCCCTCCTCCGCCTCCCCCGTCCTTGCTCTGCCCCCGCCCCTCTCGCCCTTCCCCTGTCCTTCGTCCGTTGTGGGAGGTTGGCACTCCTCGTTACCCGGGTGGGAACCTCAATCACGAACTCGGTTGGAGTCGGTATACCTTGCCTCCACCCGCTGACGCTATCGTGACCTGTCTTTCTCAGACCTGGCCGGCAAGAGGTGCCTTTGAATTGTTCGGTCAGACTGGTGCTCCTGGTATGTAAACGCTTGTTGCTGCGATCGCTGCCCCACGACCTGCTGTCGACCGAACTAACCAGGGCGCACCGTTTTTTCCGATGTGCTTGCACCGAAAGCCGATCTTTCGCCACCAAGTGTGGCCCCCTTTTTCCTGGCCTGGCCCTGGCTGGTGCGATTATCCCTGATGCAGTGCTTGCACTGGGTGCCCTGTTGCACTGTTTCTGGGTCCACGCGTGGGTTCGGCTAATCTTGGGGTCTTGTACGTGGGAAGCCTACGACCGTCGCTGTGGCGTGCATGGCGGGGCTCTTCGGACCTACGCACGCCTCCCGCCTGCCTTCTCGCTGCCCCTGCTCGCTTTGGTGACCAGCGTCGCATGGTTGTCGCGCTCTCCCCCCCGCTTTGCTACCCGCTGCTGCTGCTGCTGCTCTCCCGCCACTTGGTGGTGTCCGCACTTGCGGATTGCTCCCCGCACTGGCGAGGGAGGTGCACCCGCAGTCGTCGCACAGGTCCAAGCATCTTATTGCGGTTTCGCTCTTGCTCATGGCGCTGTCCGTCCTGCTGGAGCAGTGGAGTGAAGCTGCGGACCTCCCCAGCGTGGCAGGCCGATTGCGTCGCGTACGCGCGGACGCCCTGACGCTCAGTCGCGACTTGTGGATGCGTCTCATACGAGAAGGGGCCTGTCTGCTGGAAACCCGCCACAGGGATATCTCCTTCCCGCCCCTGGCACCCGCAGGGGCGGACGAGCTTAGGCTTGCACTCGTGAAAAGCCTGCAGCTGGCTCATGGCTGCCTGGCTCGTCTCCCCCCCCCCAACTGCCTCTGCCGTCCCGCATCCTCCCCAGCGGCTGCGGGTGGGAATGGGCAACCCTGGCCCCACTGGGTGCATGGACCGGCACGGCCGGAGAGTGTTGTGGCGACGCCTCCTAGAGCACCCCACGTCGGTCCAGCGCGCCATGAATCAGCTGGGCATCCCGATCGTGGGGTTTCCTGGTGCCCGCCTGCCAGAATCTTTCACACTTCCAGCCTCCTCGGGATTGGGCATCTACGCGGTCGGTGGTATTTCGTACGCCAGTGTGGCGGTCGTGTGGTCCTTGGAGTTCCAGGCGCACTTCGATTTCGTGATGGGGGTTGGGTCTGCACGTCGCGTGTGGGTGCAGCTACGTTTGGCTGAGGGGCTGCTTTTCTTGCTGTACTTCTATCTTCCGCCTGACCCACGTTCAGGTGATGATGGGGCGTGGGGTTCCGAGGTGGACAGCATTCGGCGGGAGATAAACAGCCTGCGCGCGCAGCGCTCCGATGCGGTGTTCGTGGCGATGGGGTACGCCAATGTGCAGCCGGTGTCTCTTGGCGGCGGTCGCGACATCTCCTCAGGTCGGGATGTGCGGTGGGTGGAGCTCTTGGTGGAGACGGGCCTCGCGGTGTGCAACCCATCCTTGCTCGGCTCCATTCCTCGCGATGTTCTTTTACCTCGTCGGCGTCGCGTAGTTAAGATCCGTCCAGGTGACACGCACCATGGTGCTTGGCAGAGTCGGGCCATCGATCTGCTCCTGGCATCTCCTGGGCTTTCGGCCAGTGTTGTCGTGCACAACAGTCTGCTCTGCAGTCCATGCTGGTGGCCTGATTGCGCTGACTTTTGCCTGGGTGACCACTTCCTGCTGGAGGCGGACCTCGGGTGCATCTGTCCGCAGCCCATGGGCCCTGCGGCTCTACGCATGCCTCCGGCATGGTTGAATGGTGAAGGTTGGAGGGCAGGCATCACAGCGGTGTCTACCCCGCTCGCGCGGCTGGGGGAACTTGCGAAGCACTCTGCCTCCTGCTGGGGTTCTGCAAGTTCGTCTCGGCCATCAGCCTTCGTGTCCCAATGGGTTGGGGACTGCTTCGCGGTCCTGCTGGGAGTTCTGGAGGGCCTGGCCAGAGACGGGTGGGTTCTACCACGGTGCGAGGCGCGCGCTGCCCACAATCGCCTTGCTGCCGTGGGCCCCTTGGCTGCCGTTCCCACCGGGACCCTGGCTGGTGGTCTCGCCCACTGTCTCCGCCGCCTGGAGCTCCCGGAGCCTCGGCCCCATGCGTGCTTGATCGTGGACTCCGTGGTTTTATTCCGCGCTGAATCACACGAGGCCTGGCGCCGGCAGCTCGTCCAGCAAAGCGTCCCTAGCAAGCCCTGTCCTTCGGATGCCGCCGCCCGGGTGAGCGATTATTGCAGGTGTCTGCTGCGTGACGCTCGAGCCTCAATTGGCCGTGGGTGGGCCGACGCGCCCATCGTGCAGCAGGAAGTGTTCCGCGTCGTGGACAACTGGGATTCCTCCTCGGCCACCACGCCTGACCTGCTACCACGTGTGGTTTTTCAGCTCCACCTCCAAGTGTGGGACGACACTGTTTGGGCGCTGCAGCTTTTTATGGGGCCGGGGGTGCTGGCCCTTCGGCCGCGCCTGTGGCGTGCGCGGGTGCTGGGGACGGCATACAAACGGGGCCCCTGGAATGCCTCGCTGTGCATCATGTGCCAGCATGGGCTCCTCCAGGAGGGACTCCTCTTCGAGCGGCTCCGCGTGCCGCTCCGGCGGTCCTTGCTAGAAGGCCAGAGTGGTTACGTGCGTGACTGTGGAGATGCTCATCTTGTTCTTCATGAGGTGGTGGCTTCGCGGAGTACTGCTGGGCTGCCCACCTGGTTAGTGCATGGTGACTTTGTGCATGCCTTCCCACGCACGTGGCGCAGCCTGCTGTTATGCCTGCTGCACGATGCTGGGGGGGTCCAGGCAGGCTCGCTGACGCTTCTTGGCTCGGTCCTCGAGTGGGATCAAGTGGTCGTCACCCTGAGCGGCCTGAGCACGGTGGTTGTACACGAAGGAATGCCCGAGGGCGGCGTCCTCGGGCCCCTCGGCTTCAATTTTCTCCCAGACGGTCTAATGCGTCTGCTGCACTCTGCGGGTTGTGGCGCGGCCACGAGCACCTGGGTCCCCGTCCCTTGGCAGCAGCACGTGTGGCTAGGTTGTGGCACTCCGCGCACTCACTTGGTGGACATGATCGTGCCTCTCCTGGAGTGTCCCAGCTCGCTGCCTTCCGCTGACATGCTGGCGGCTTCCCCAGACCTGGAGGCCTCTGCCTTGCGCGCCCTGGACCTCCACGACCGCGGTCGTCTGCCGGCGCTGCTCCACTGCGACGATCCTGTAATCGTGGCCTCTAGCAGAGGGGCGGCGGAGGAGGTATTGCGCTTTGTGGCCTGGTGGTGCTTAACACACCGAGCTGAACTGCACGCCGGGCCGCGCAAGTCAGTCGTGCTCGTGGCGGGCAGTGCTGCTGCCCAGCGTGCGGCACAGGCTGGTGCTCCGCTCGTGCTCCCACGCCTTGGTCACCCCCTCGGCGTGCCTCTGTGATTTGCGTCCCAGCACAAATGGCTGGGCCTGCTGTGGCGGCCTGACTTAGCCGATGCTGCAGAGTAGGTTGGCGCTCGCCGAGGCGGCGTGTACGTCGGTGGATTGGGCTCATCGTACTTGGGCAGCTCCCCCTGTCCGTTGCCCTAGAGGCCTTCCACGCCAAGGTGGACAGCATATTGTGCTTCTCGCGCTGGCTGTGATGCATTGCTCCTGGTGCTCTCCACGCGCTTGACGAGGCCTGCGAGAGGTGGGCGAAGGCCTTCCTGGGGGGCGCATCGTGGAGGAACTCTGGTGTGGCAGCGCTGGAGATGGGGCTGTCCCTCGGTGGCGGCGCACAAGCCGTCCTGGATCTGTGTCGCAGGCGGGTTCGGCTCCACCTCCTGCCGGAAAACAATTTCTATCGGTGCGCATTCTTGCGCGGCGCGGCGGGCGGTGCTCAGTGTTGGGCAGTGCGGAGCAGCGATTTACTCCGGGTGTACGGGGTGCCCGACTGGCCGCAGTGGGCAGTTCCAGGTGCCCAGCTGGACGGTTACATCGCCCACTGCAAATCCGTGCCCAACATCCTTCGCTTTCGGAGCAGATTTGGAGGATGTCTCGAGCGAGGCGCTCATTTCAGCACCCCTAAGGGGAGCCGCCAGGGGTGGTTGCACGGGCTCGTTCGCGGCCATTTTGTGGGGATGTCTCAGGCGGTTTGCCTGTTTCTGTGCCCAACATCCTTCGCTTTCGGAGCAGATTTGGAGGATGTCTCGAGCGAGGCGCTCATTTTCACCCCCCAGGTGGGCCAGATTTTGCGGATGTCTCGATCGGTTTGCTAGTTTTGGTGGCCAGGCTCGTGGGCGCAGATTCTTCTCAGGATGCCACAGGAGGCTCCAACAGGCTCCAGGAGGCTCCAGGAGACCACATGAGGTCCCAGGAGGCATCAGGAGGCCACAGAAAGACTCAAGAGGCCACAGGATGTCCCAAGAGGCTCCAGGAGGCCCCAGGAAGCTCCAGAAGGCTTCAGGAAACCACAGGAGGCCCCAGGAGGCAACAGGAAGCGCCAGGAGGCCTCGGAAGGCAACAGGAGGCCCCGAGAGGCCCCAGGAGCAGGAGGCCTCAGAAGGCAACAGGAGTGGCTCCAATCCCATGTGTTTTACGTATGCTCCTATCGATTGGGCCTCACCTGGAGCACGATTCTTTGATGTTCTACGTATGTTTCTATAGATGGTCCTTCTCCTGTGTACACAATCCTAAATGTTTTACTCATGTTCCTATGTATTGGGCCTCTCCTGGGGCACGAGTCCTTGGTGTTTTACGCGTGTTCCTATAGATTGCCCTTCTCCTGTGGCTCTAATCCGCAATGTTTTATGTACGTCTGTTGCTATAGATTGCGCCTCTCCAGGGGCACGAAACCTTCCTAGGAGGTCCCAGGAGGTCCCAAGAGGCTCCTGGAGACCCCAGGAAGCCCCAGTAGGTTTCAGGAGGCCCCAGGAGGCCCCAGGCTCATGCACAGAGACGCGCTCGTACTACTGAGGCTCATTCACACTCCAATTCATTCGCAGTTAGATTGATGTCCAGACCGTCACAACTGAAGCCCGTTAATATTCGAAAGCTCTTGCGCCTAGACATTCACGGCGGACAGGTCCATGCGAGTAGATGATGGGGAGCATTTTTTTTTCCATTTTTATATGGTTCCCATTTATTTTCTCTCTTTTAAGGAGCTCCACGCAGTGAATAATTTTTTGTCCGAGATTCTCGTGTATGGGGACATGCCTGACCTAACCCTACCGTCAAACCGCACAGCAAGGATGAGGAAGTCTTCCTCTTCCAAGGTTGCCCCTGCATCCTTGCCGCTTAGGCCCATCCCTGGCACCGTTTGCTGGCCAGCCCTGCTCGATGAACGTCACCATGGCTTTCCAAGGCTCCTGCATCCTGACTGCGCGTCCCTATTATACGGGTCGAGTGTACTTCTCTCCCCCCCTGAATCCACGGGAGGAGGAGGAGAATGAGGAGGAGGACGAGGAGGAGGAGGGAGGAGGAGGAGGGGGAGGAGAAACAGGAGGAGGAGAGGGGAGGAGAAGGGAGGATGAGGTAGTAGGAGGAGAGGAGGAGGAGGAGGATGAGGAGGAGGAGGAGGAGAGGAGGAGGAGGAGGAGGAGGAGGAGGAGAGGAGGAGGAGGAGGGGAGGAGTCAGGAGGAGGAGGAGGAGGATGAGGAGGAGGAGGAGAGAGGAGGGGGAGATGAGGAGGAGGAGGAGGAGGGGGAGGAGGAGGAGGAGGAGAAGGAGGAGGAGGAGGAGGAGGAGGAGGAGGAGGAGGAGGAACAGGACCCCCTTGGCAGCCCGCGCCCCCGCCTGCCCGAGGTGGGTGGGAGCGAAGCTCATCGGCCTTTGTGGAGAGTGCAGTGCCGTTTTTAATACATGCTCCGCGTGCGGATCATGTATTAAAAATGTTTGGATTTTATATTAAAAACAACGATGAGTTCATGCATAAATTGATGAATGAATTGATCATGTATTAAAACTCCTATGCTTAAAAACATCCCATGTATTAAAAAACTACCCTGCAGGCCCCCAGACATGGTCTCCTCGTCGAGTCTGCGGAACAGGCGTGAAAAGCTCGCAGATCCGCGGAGCAATTTTCGCACCGATCTGATATTCGACTGAACAGATCATTCATTCTGGGGTGAATCGGTTCTGTAGTCGATGCCCTACTCGATTATTGGAGCCCCCCGCCGCCATCTGAGGAGGCCTTCTCCTTCTCCTCCCCCTCCCCTCTTCCTCCTCTTCCTCCTCCTCCTCCTCCTCCTCCTCCTCCTCCTCCTCCTCCTCCTCCTCCTCCTCCTCCCCCTGCCTCTCTGCCGGCCTCCGCCGGTCACACCCGCCTCCCCGCGGTCGGGCACGGCGGGCACCCGAGGGAGGAGGGTCTGCGGTCGGACCGAGCTATGTAGGATCGGGGTCGGCTCGGGGAGGGTGCTCCAGTGTTCTTCGCGTTTGCTGGATGCTCGGGCGCATCCTGGGGGGGGGGCGTGCCCTCGGGTTGCCTCGTGGCCCGGGGTGTGTTGGCCCGCGGGGGGGGGCTCGTGTCCTCGAGGGATGCGCTCGTCTGCCGACTGCACGCAAGAGCCACCCTTCGCCGGAGTGGCCTCGGGTTCGGGCCCATGGGCCCCCCCCGATCGCCGCGTGCGGTGCGATATCCGCGGCCTGCGCGCTTGTCTTCGCCCCCAAAACGCCGCGCGCCAAAGGTCGCTCTTGCCCAGGGCCACTCTTGCGCGTACAGTGAGCGGCTTGAATAAGGAACACTTACTTTTCAAAAGGGGCTCGGTGGTTCCTCAGGCTCGTATGCGTTATTTACAGTTCCGTATGCGCTATTTGTTATTTATCGTTCCTTCATCGTGTGATTCCTTGGGATAAAAAAAGGGGATTCGTTCCTTGTTTATCGTTCCTTATGTCAGGCCGATGACTGTAGTCGATTTCTGTGCTGGATCCGACCGTCCTGACCCTTCTGCTCTCCCCTGCCCACGGTGGGTTTGCGCCGCGCAGCCGCGGCGCGGTGATCCCAGCGTGTGCGGCCAGGGTGGAGAACGCCGCCCGTCTTCCAGGATCGGCCGGCAGCGAACGGTCGGCCCTGTCGGAAAGCCGTGATCGTGCCAGCGTGCCGTGCGCCCCTTTTTTTCGCGAGGGCGCGGCCTGTGCACAGCGGGCGCGCGCAGGGTGACGAGGAGGGAGGGAGGAGGGGGGGAGGGGGGAGGGGGGGGGGGAGGGAGGAGGGGGGAGGGGAGGAGGGGGAGGGGGAGGGGGAGGGAGGAGGGGGGAGGGAGGAGGGAGGAGGGGGGGAGGGGGGAGGGGGGGGAGGGAGGGGGAGGGAGGGAGGGAAGCCCAGCTCGCCTAACACCTGGCTGCTGGTCGAGGAAGCGTCCGTCGCGGGTCGCCCGCGTCCGTGCGGAGTCGGCGCGCGCTCCGTCGCCACGGCGGGCGGGTTTTGTCGCCTCACGGTTCGGGGGGGGCCTTTCCCTCGGCATCGCTCGGAGCTGTGCATCGCTCTCGCCGAGGAGCCTCGAGGAGCCTCCTCGACCGTCGGGCCAACAGAGCACAGACGGAGCCGAAGCGTGCACAGGGAGTGGGAGATCGCGTTCTTGTTCCTTGTTCGGCCGAGCGGCGGGGGCCTCGCGCCCCCCTGCCCCCCCTCCTCCATGCAGGAGGAAAAGAAACACAGACACAATTAATCGTCGATTCCCAAGAAAATATGGGAAAATATGGGCAGTGGGGGGGAAGACAGAAACCCAGAACATATGGGAAAGTATGGGGGATCATTTTATTTGTGTGTATTTATTTAATCGCTTCGCTCATTCCGCCGGCCCATACAGTCTCATGTCTGCCGTTTGCCCGAGGGCTTGGTGTCAATGCGGCGCTTTGGGGGTTCCTGGGGCCGCTTGGGGGACTCCTGGGGCGCTCGGGGGGGCATTTTGGGGGCCTCCTGGGGCCGCTTGGGGGACTCTTGGGGGCCTCCTGAGGGCCTCGTGGGGGCCTCTTGGGGCCTCTTGGGACCTCTCAGGGGCCTCTGGGGTCCTCCTGGGGGCTTCTTAGGGCCGAGGGCTGGACATGTTGTGTCGTGTTCCCCCCCTGGGGCCGCTCTTGGGGCGTTCTTGGGGCCCTCTTGGGCCGTCTTGGGGCCCTCTGGGGCCGTTTTGGGGCCATCTTGGCTCGTCGTAAGGCCCTTGTGGGGGGCTCTTGGGCACTCTTGAAGCGGTCTTGGGGGCCTCTTGGGCCGTCGTCGGGCGTTGGAAAGCGGAAAGGGTGGGAATACCAAAATCTCACCAAAACCTAAGGAAAAGCAATGAATTTTGCCTATTGGGGCCCTCTTGGGAGTGCTCTTGGAGGCCTCCTGGGGCGTTTGGGGGCCATATGGAGCGTCTTGGAGCGATCTTGTGGCATCTCGGAGCCCTCTTGTAGCATCTTGGGGGCGTTTTGGGGCGTCTGGAGGCTCTCTGGAGGACCTCGAGGGCGGCACCCAGGAGGGAGAACATCTCTGACGGGAACCTCCCGGGACCCTCCCGGGAGTCTCCCGGGACCCTGCCGGGGTACTTTTCGTGGGGAGACCCCCAGGGGCCGCCCCGCGCGCGCGAAGAAGAATATTGTAAAGCAGTCACCGGAGATCTTAGCACGCCTCTGGCCCGTTGGGCCGGCGAATTTGTGTGTCCCAGGGCCCCTTCATCCATGGAGCAGGTCTTGGGTGTGTGGGGCGCCCGTTTCGAGCAGGCGGGGCCTCCCCCATAGGACGCGCTGTTCCAGGCAGTCGCGTGAAGCAGAGGTCCCTCGCCAGACCCCCCCCCCTCCCCCCTCAAATGCCCAATGGCGAGACGCCGAAGGAGAAAACGTTCACATGGACTACTGAGCGACGCCGAGTTCCTGATCCGTGGATCTGGCGCTCACCCGCCATATCCACGGATCCCCCGTCGCTGTCCGCGCGCGCCCGAGCCAGGACATCCTTTGGCATCGCTCGGACGTGTGCTTTGTGTTCCTCGGCGAGGGCCCTCGAGGAGCACCCTGGATCGTCTTGCCAAAAGCACACGTGCGCGACGCCGAACAGTGCACGGGCCATGGACGTCCGAGCGGCGGCGATTTCCTGGCCCGTGGATCCGGCGCTCACCCGCCAGATCCACGGGTCCCCAAGTCTCGTCGGCGAGCCCGGGGGGGGACGTGAGCAGGGGCGGGCCTTCTCGGAGGGCTCGGAAGTGCCCCCCGGCCTCCTGAGAAGTTGCCCGAGCCTGCCCCGAGAACGCAGAAGGCCTTCTCAGGAGGCCAGAGGCCTTCTGAGAAGCCCCGCCGCCTGCTGAGAAGGCCTTGTCCTTCTCCTCCCGCTCCCCTCTTCCTCCTCCTCCTCCTCCTCCTCCTCCTCCTCCTCCTCCTCCTCCTCCTACTCCTAGGCGTGGGCTTGAGGCACGGGAGACATTTCCCCGTGTCGCGTTTTGTGCCGCCCGCGCCCAGCCCCGTGCCCGCGGCCTCGTGCGTGCGATTGGCAGGGGCGCTGTGGTTGCCTTGCGTCTGCCCAGGTGCGGACAGAGCGAGGCAAGGACGACAGTGAGGTCCAGGTCACCTGCGTGGCATCGACGGCAGAGGCGGCTGCGTCAGGCTGCGCGACATCTGTTACGGCTGGATCGTGCGCGTCATTTACTTTCTCAACACCACGCCTCCCGTTTCATGGGAGGAGGCAAAGGCGGACGTGGGACTCAGCGGGATGACCCACGTGAGCCGCGATGGTCGTGCACGGCTACTCGTCAGTGTGGCTATGCTCGCAATTTCGCTACTTCGGCAAGGTGCTACATGTGTGGCAGGGACAAGTCGGGCCAGCCAGACCCTGCTGGACCGCCAGACCGCACGAGGCGCCGATCGTCGAGACCACCGTCCACAGGGCGGGGCAAAGACAGGGTTCGTGAAGACAGAGAGAAGGAGCCCTCAGAAGACCCATCGGCATCTGAGGCAGTCACTCGTGCTCGCAAGGCGGTGGCAGCTTTACGTCGATTGGGTCTTGATGATAGTAGTGGATTGGTGGTCGCTGCACGCAAGGAGCTTCAGGCCGCAGAGGCTATGGAGCGTTCACAGCGAACGCCTGACGATCTTCTCCGCCGTGCGTTGGATCGACAGGCTGCAAAGTCTCGCGAGGTTTCAGCGCTGCAGAGTGAGGTCGACAGGCTCAAGGCTGAGTATGACACCAAAGCGGCCGAGCTGCAGACTGCGACCGCGGACCTGGCGACGATTCACTCAGAGGTCACCACTGCACGGGCTGCGGTACTGGCCACAGGGCGCTCTGCACCAGACGAAGGCGGTGATCGTGACGTATCGGGCGCTCTCGAACGTTTGGAGCAGATTGTACAGGCAGCGCCTTCCACCACGCCTGAGAATCTTGGAGCGCTATGTGCATCGCTCAGCACGCATGTCACACAATTGCAGACGGCATTGGCACAGCATCGACGGACTCATGCGACGTCTGCGATGGCCCCTGGCTCTGGTATTCCAGCTTCACATCCATGGGACGAGCTCCTCGCCGCACACGATGATGCTGCAGGGACGGGCGAGTCCGACATGGACGACGAAGCTGGGTAACGACTTACAGTTATTCGACATGCCTCGGTTGTTCAGCGACGGTGCTATCAGGCCTTTCGACCCAGGTCGAGATGACTATGTGCAACTGCATGCTGACCAGCCTTCATTACCTTCTATGATTGATGCAGTGTCGGGTGACCCTAGGATCTCGGCATCAGCATCGACTAATACAGGCTCCAGTTTGCCATCGCTCGGTGGTACGCACTGCTCAGTCGCGCTGGAGGGGCTTGGCAGCGCCAGAGGGTACCGACCTGCGGTCCAGGGTGGGCCGTATGGTACGCACTGCTCAGCGTTGCCCACCCAACATGCGGCCAGAGGGTACCGACCACCGAGTAATGATGATGGCCATGCAGCTGGGCAGGTTGCTGTTACGAAGAGTGGCAAGAGGTCTTCTTCAATGACTTGGTCCAGCGATCAGCCAGCTCACCGTCAGCGGCGAGGTCTTCGTGGTTCACGACGCAAGTCGCTGATGATGGTTAGTTTTAACAGTTCAGGATGGCCCCAAGCCAAGGACTTCCTGGACAACATGCGACATGTTTCTATTGTTGCCGTGCAGGAGCTGCACCTTCATGGGAATGGACGGCTACAAGCTGAAGAGTGGTGTGTGCGGCAAGGATGGCAACCTTTCATCACGGATGCAATTGTTTCGGAGTCGGACAAGCCACGTGCAGGTGTTGGCCTCTTTGTGCGCAGCAACATCGGCGTGGTCAAGCTCACGGCCTGCCTTCGTGATCATGTTATCGTACCAGGTTTCAGTGTGGCCGTGCTGGTTCGTGCTGGACCACGTGGAGGCTTTGTTGTGGCCTCATCGTATCTCGAGCAGGGATTGAAGTTGGGTGGTGCGAACACGAATCGCATATCACGCCTGGGCTCATCCCTCCGATATTACGGGCTGCCCTTTGTCGTGGCAGGTGATTGGAATGTCAAGCCAGAAGTTATTGAACAGTCATACATCACTACGAAGCTGGATGCGAGGGTGGTTGCCACGGACGAAGGTACTTGTCGGGATCCAGGGTCTGGCAACTATTCCAAGATTGATTTCTGGCTGGCCAGTGATTCGTTGGCGGCGGCGATGGGTACTCCGACCATATGTGGAGGGTATCCTGCGCGTGTGCACTACCCCATTCAGGTCTCGCTTGGGCCTCGTCCTCGCGCTCATAAAGTTCGCCGTCTACTCGGGCCTCAACTTCTACCTGTGCATCCTATCGTTTCGCCAGACATGGGAGATGATGACGAGGATGGGGAGTTGGTCTATACTGATCGTGGGCTTCCAGAGGTAGAATGGCCACAGCTAATGCGTAGAGATGCAAGTTTAGGTTTCGGTGATGCTGCAGGTCATGCACAACGCTTGAATGACCTCGCTGCAGACTTGTATAAAGGAGTGGAGGCGGAGTTGCTACCACTCTTTGACACAGGCGGACAGCCTGCCAAGTTCTTGGGCCGAGCTGAGGGCCCAAGGTATGCGTACAGCACTGCAGGAGGCGCTTTGGCACGGCAGCAGCCGAGTGGCACGCGCTTATCACGCGCACTTCGTACATTACAGCAGCGCATTCATGATCTGTGTCACGCATACCAGCGCAATAACACTATATTATGTACACGTATTTGGGCGCACCTCGTCGAATTTATGGGTGGGCATGGGAAGGATGGTAGACTTCGCATGTCGATGCCTAAGTACCTAGTGAATGACCTTGTGCATATCATTACGTGTATATCGGCACAGCCACCGGTGTACTATTGCAACATGCTGCAGTTCCTTGGTGACTTCTGCGGTCGTGCGGCCGAGACTGAAGAGCGCAGGCTTGGGTCTGCCAGATCTAAGGAGTTTTCGTTTTGGCTGAAGAAGGCCCTGCGCGGCAAGTCAGGCCCCGTTCATCGCTGGACCAAGCCGCGTGGGTGGCAGCTCGCTGAAGTTGAAACTGAGTTGGGCCCTAGCAGCTTTCCTGATGATATTGCCACGGCCCAGAGGGCCGCTTGGGGGTCGATCTGGGCTGGTGTGGATCATGAGCCCGATCATTGTGTGGCTAGTGTTCAGGACAGTTCTGGTGATGACCATTTGGGGGATTTGCAAGAGCTTATTGCGAAGGGTCCTCGTTTGCCGCCTTTGAGGATCGGTGAGCTTCGTCGAGCTGCCAAACAGTTCGCGGGAGGCACAGCGGTCGGAGCAGATGTTTTTCGTCCGCGGCATTGGGCATTGGCGTCTAATGGTGCTCTGGCAGTTTTGGGCTACTTATTTCATCTTTGCGAATCGTGGGGCCAGTGGCCTGCACTAATCAAGCATGTGCACATCGTCCTCCTGATTAAGCCGTCTGGGGGATATCGCCCTATTGCACTACTTCCGTCTATCTATCGCATTTGGGGAAAGGCACGTCTCATTTGGGCTCGGTCTTGGGCTGGCTCGTTGAATAGGGGCTTCCTGGCGCTCGGGGCCCAGAAGAGCACGACGGATGTTGCTGCAAGACTGTTGGTTCAAGCCGAATCGACCTCTGTCGAGGTGGCGGACTCCCCCATTACGGTGCATGCGATTATAGACATTGAGAAGTGTTTCGATCGTGTGCCGTGGAGACGGCTACTTGGATCGGCGGTGCAGCATGATTTTCCACCTACCCTCATGGTGCTTGCTGTTCGAATGTATGCGTCCTCTCGTCGTCTATCGTGGGATGCGTGTTTCTCGGCCCCTATATGGGCTACGCGGGGAATATTGCCTGGGTGTCCTCTGGCGATGTTCTGTCTGCAGTGTGTGATGATTACGCCGTTTGACTCGTTGTCTGGCCACACTCAGCACATTGACAGGTCGATTGACATTTACGCCGACGATATCACGATTGCCATCGTTGGTACTGCCTATGCTATTGTTGATGCTGCTTGCTCCCTCCTCTCCATCCTTGTGGACATGCTGCACGCCGTTGGTTTGCCGCCTGCGCGCCACAAGATGACGCTCACTTGCAGTTCGCCCGCCATCGGTATGAAGATTGCCAAACGATTGGCATGGCGCGGGTTTTGCTATCGGTCAGCTCTGGAAGTCTTGGGGATTGAGGTTAATGCAGGCCGCCCTATTCGACATCGCAGGCTCCGTGAACGTATTCACAATACTCGTAAGCGCCAACCTCGGCTTCGAAGGATTCAAAAAGCTGGGTCCCTGGCCGCTCGCTTCGCTAAGCAGGCCCTTCCGTCGGCCATGCAATATGGAGTTGGGGTCCACGGGGCTCCGCCGCAGCTTGTCGAGGCCATGAGGGGGATCATGCGGGGCACTTGGTATACTCCAGGTTCTACTACCTCTGCGTGGTTAACATCGTGCCTCCAGGGCTCCATGTATGAGGACCCCCAAGTGGCCTGCTGGGTTCAACCAGTTTACCAGTGGGCCCTATTGTTTCGGGACCGTGGTGTACAACATAGCACCCTGCAGAAGGCTTGGACGAGACAGGTCTTTCGTGTCCTCCAAGCCGAGAAGCCTTGGGCTAACGTCGCAGGCCCTGCAGGAGCTATGCTTTTGGCTGTGCAGGCGCTTGGCTGGAGGACGACCTCAGCCACTAGTATTGTCACGGATATTGGAGATCGTTTGGATCTTCTGACAGATGCACTTGTGACGGTGCGTGACCTCGCTCGTGCTGCTGCAGTCCGTCGTATGTGGGAAGCATGGAGCTCGAGGTCAAACCCTGCTGATGATAATATGGACCCCAAGGAGCCTCTCGGATATTGGATGGAGCCTATATTGGGACTCTTGAAGGATCGTCCGCATGACCCAGTGGAGGACCCTCCTCTTGACCCTGAAGGCCCTTGGAAGCTTACGGTGTCTGAGGACGGGCTCTTGAGGGCCTTGGTGGGAGGGGGACTGTGGTCCCCGCATCGACTTTATCGGCATGGATATTCTCGCACATCGTGCTGCCCAGCGTGTGATTGCGATATATGCACCTCATATCATATTTCTTGGGAGTGTGACGGACGTGCAGCACAGCAGCGAGAGGCAATGCGTAGTGTTGATTGTCGGGGCCTGCCGCCACGCTCGCCTGGCTCCTGGTTTTGGACAAGAGGCATGGCACCTCGGTCTTGTTTTCCTCCTGTGCCCCCACGAGATGATAGTGGACGTTGGCACATACAATACGGGTCCCTGGACAATGTCACTGGGGACATCTACACAGACGGTGCGTGCAGAAAAGCTTGGTACTGGCCCGAGGCTACGAGGGCGGGATGGGGATTCGTGAAGTATGTTAGGCGTGACATCCAGCTGCTTGTATACGGAGCCCTTCCTGGACCCATTCAGAGCTCGCCTAGGTCTGAGTTATACGCCTTCCTGCAGGTTCTAGTTGTCTGTATTTTGCCAATACATGTGCATGCGGATTTTTATGGCCTGATTGAGGGCCTTGCTTTGGGCCCTGGCTTATGTTGCGGCCCCAGGCGACCAAATACCGACCTTTGGGAGGCGATCTGGAGAAAGCTCGATGACCTCGGTGGCCTTGGAGAGGCCATTAAAGTCTCGCATGTCAGGGGTCACCAGTCTGGAGACTCCGTCGAGGCACGGTCCAACAGATGGGCTGATTTCGCCGCCTGTCAGGGGCGGGATCTCCACTCAGCTAGCAAGGCTGCTTTCGCTTCCATGAGGATGGCCCTCAGGTCGGTGAGGGGTGTGCTCAAATGGCTTTTGCAGGCTCACTCGTCTCACTTGTCACATGGACGCGTGGCCACCTTTCGGCGCCCTCGGAAGATTAAAGTTCGGTCTAAAGTCAAGGCCTCCAGGGCGCCTGAAGCGCATTTGAAACACGTTTTTACACCGGCTCGGGACAAGTTCTGGCGGTGTGATTTTTGTAAGAAGGGGGCCAGATCTGAGGAGAGGGTGCAGCGTCTCTCCAGTTGGGTTTGCCCTGTGCGTGCTGCGTCCAGCCGTGGACACAAGGGGACTTCGCTCTCTCCTGGTGGTTTGGACGCTGGCTCTGAGCCTCGTGAGGCTCTGTCCCCCCTGACTCAGGGTCAGCCTGGCAGAGGGGTGCAGCCCATGGGAGTTTCGACCTCGTCAGGCACCGAGGTTGACCTCTCTGGGCCTCTCCCCTCGAATGCTCGCTGCACCTTGGGTGGTGTTTTCCTGGACGAGGGGGTGGAGAGGACGAAGCGACCCGCCTCCCGCAGCCCTTCTGTGGGCCGTGCGACGCGGCAGAGGCTGCTGCGTGAAGAACTCCCTCGGAGAAGGTCAGCCTCGCCGTCAGAACGTTCCGTGCGGGCTAGGGTAAGTTTCGATCCTGTTGTTTCGAGTCGCACTGTCGATGCTGTTGAATTGGCACAGGCTGTCCAATCTATTGATCGGTCCTCTCCCTCCCCTGACTCTCGCCCTCTTGTCGTGAGTCGCCCGAGCCCTCCGAGATGCCCAGACAGAGAAGGACCAGCCTTTGTGCCAGGTATGCCTCCAGCGAAGCGACAGCGACTTCAGCCCAGAGGCCGCCCGTCGCTGTCGCAGACTACTGTCCCAGCCGCATTTCTGCCGTCGACGGGTATTGTGCCGCCAGTCGCTGCTCGAGGTCATAGATGCTGGGTCTCAGAAGGCCACATTGTTCTATGCATCAGATGCGGGTTCTACATCTCAGGTGTGGCCAGTCACCTCCTGCTGGACTGCTCACCGCCGATCGTTATGAGCGAGCGAGCCCAGAGGAACCGACGCTTGTTTTTAGGTAGGTTTCATCCAGCCGACGAAGGCCGTAGCAACTCACGGCGTATTCCACAACCAAGGCCCCTCAGGGTGGACGATGCTGAAATTTCCTGGCTCCGTCTCCTTGGGCTTTGAGTTGTTTCTTTTTCGGCCCGTCCCTCTTCAAATCTTCTGGACTTTGGCCGTGGCTCCTGGTCCTGTCCTGGTGCCTTAACTCGTTTTGTTTTTGTTGGTGGTGTGGCTGGGTGGTCCGTTGTCGGCGTCTGTGTGTCGCGTGCGCGCGCGCCCCCGCGCGCGCGCGCGCACCTCCTGTACGACGATTACAGCCAGGACCGCCCACGCCGCCGCCGCCGCCGTCGTCCGTCGCCCCCTACCGCGATCCTTTGGTGGGTGGGGGTCGTCACCGTGGACGTTTGGGGGAGGCTGATTGCCCCCCCGATTTAAGGTGTATGTCAGTGCTCCGCGCGACATTTCCCTATAGCGTCGTATCCTCCTCCTACTCCTCTTCCTCCTCCTCCTCCTCCTCCTCCTCCTCTTCCTCCTTGCTTGCCGCCGACAGTCACTGTCGGCGTGCGCCCGAGCCAGGGCGGCCGGCCGCCGCGGGGGGGGGAGCGCCGCCCCAGCCGTTGCGCGCGCCTGCC